TGCGGTGCATCACTGAGATGGGCATTGGTGCGGTGCATCACTGAGATGGGCATTGGTGCGGTGCATCACTGAGATGGGCATTGATGCGGTGCTTCACTGAGATGGGCATTGATGCGGTGCATCACTGAGATGGGCATTGATGCGGTGCTTCACTGAGATGGGCATTGGTGCGGTGCATCACTATTTCAGGAAGCATGGGATATTATAAATATAATTTTTATAATTTGTTTAGTGATGTATTCCAGTTGTACAAAATGTACTACTTAGATTCTAAATATTTCATGCACAGTCAGATGCTTACTTCAACCATGGAATCACCTTGGAAACATACTGTATACCCAGTGCTGGCCCAATATCTTATATACTTGGACACATCTTGGCATGTACCAAAGAAAACAGAGTGGGGGTGGTTATTACAGCAACACCTGTTCATTTTTCAGATGGCCAGTGCTGACCCAGTGTCTTATATACTTGGACACATCTTGGCATGTACCAAAGAAAACAGAGTGGGGGTGGCTATTACAGCAACACCTGTTCTTTATTCAGAGTTCTGTTTTATCTTTCAACAAGCTACACAACATTATGTATTCATTTTATTTACGTGTACCCATGCCATGATTTTTAATATGAATTGTAAATGTACGTTGTTTCCCTGTGAGAAAAATGTCTTTTTTTTGTTATACTGTGGGTTGGAGTAATTTCCAATCATATTAAAGCCAGACAGCATTATACATAAGATAACTATTTGTACTAGCTCTAATTAACAGACTGGATTCGTGAAAGTTATTTAGCACGGCGAAACAGGACAAGACCTCTTCTTAAGGGAATTTGGGCTGTGCACAGGGTTACTTTCTGGCTAATAAAAATATTAGAATATTAATCAAATTTGTAAATACAAACCATATAAATGTTCTTCGTACAATTACTCTCTGCCGTCACAATAATGGGAACATAGCTTTACTGTTGCTACATCGTGCAAGTTTCTATTGTAAAAAAAAAATACAATGTTTTTAACTAATACAGGTGAAATAGGAGATTAAAAATCTTAGCCACAGCACTGGAAGACTGGTGTAAAAAGTTTCATGCAGTGACATTAAATTCCTGCTCCCGTCTGCCTTCTCCTTAAACTGGAGCAACTGGTTCTTAAGTCCTGTATTTTAATACATGTGAACCCCCCCAGGAAATACCATTAACTGTTGTATGACATCTTAACTCGTTTACTTTAAGGTAAGCTTAACAATGAATCTTCTACCTCAGTTGTTCAAAGTAGACTTCCTGGGCGGAGCTGCACATACTCAAGCCAACATGAAGAACACAGAAATGAGTTCGGGTAAGAAGCAAAGTGTGGTTTGCCGATTATACTTTGGTTTTCTTCTCATCATTGTTCAGCTCAATGGACTCCATGTTCCACCCATCCTTTTCTTTATTCTTGTCTTTCTCGTCGTCCTCCCCTGAGAGAAACTTGGCCTCTATCTCCACAGGGTCCACGTAGATGTAGAAGTAGCCCATGATGGCAAAAATGACGCAGACCAGCATCAGAAGGCAGGCAAACAGCACATATTCGGCCCACTGTTGGATCACACACAGAGGAAATGATTATTGCAAGTCTGTTGTAATCGCTTATCTTTGCCAAACAGGAAACTATACAACTATACATTGCTTATATCACAGTTAATAGGGAATACTGGGTTTACTGGGTGTTGGCCAGTAGGGAATACCATAGTGCCATACACAGAATGCCATGAAACAGGGATCCGGGTTACTGCTTGGTGAGAGGGCAGATGAAACAATTGGCCGTGGTGACACCCACCTGCTCAGAAACTGCACCTGCCTCTGCCACAATCAGCACGATGATGTTGCCCACGGCCACGGTGAACAGCCAACCTGCCTGCAGGACTGATTTCATGTTGCTAGGAGCCTGGAAGAAGAGACAATCGCACCTAAGGAGGCTTCGATATGCTGTTAGAGTTTGCATTTGTGAATGTTTGTGTTATGTAGGCACCTCTACACACACGCTGCTCTGCTTGAGTGAAGGAATCCAAGAGGCAGCCCATCGCGTGTCCTCAGGAAGGACGGGGGACTGCAAGGGAAACTAGTAAGACTGTACCTGCGAATAGGAGAACTCCAGACCCGTCACAGAAAAGACCACCTCCCCTGTGGTCAAGATGAAGTACTGAGGGATCAGCCAGGCCATGTGGACGCTGTTGGGCGCGATGTCCTCTACAGGAACAATGGTCTCCTGGCACTGTTGGGCAGGCGTGAACCACAGAGTGAGCGGTAAATATTGTGGGCCGGCTGCGTGCCCGGGCTGAGAAAGGGCACAGAAACGCCAACTCACATTGCTCGACTTGCTGGATATAAGGAAGGTATAAGAGCTTCCAAAACCAAAATCCTTGGAATAAGTGCAATTCAGTCTCTCAGAGGTGATGGTGAATGTCGATCTGTGAATAAGAACATCTGTGTGTAACTCAGGATCCATACCAGGAAAAACTAAAGAGGGCACCATACAAAGCCAAAATAAATATTCTGGAATGTTCTCATAAGATGACATAAATCTGATAAAGAGCTACTTCCCCATTAGTCTCATTCCTAAATCCACAGCAGCACTTACTTTCCTTGTGACACTATCGTGGAGTTCGACACGCCAGCAGCTCCGATATCTTGGTGGAAGTCTCCCTTGGACACAGTGACTTTAGTAGCCAAGCCATTGACAAACCTGTGCAGGAGAAGAGCGAAACATGACAAGTGACCTAATAATGCACACAGTTTGACCAGATATGATGATATCCCTTAACGCAATGCAGCTTCTGGCTCTTAATGAAGACGCAGGAGAGCAACACACCTGATCTCATTTTTTCCTTGATCTGGTTTGCTGGTTAAATCATCGATCTGGAGCATAGAAAGATATTTAGTTACATTCCAATGTTCTGATTCTGTGAATTGGGGAGAAACTTCATTGCGTCCCATGCGACTGTAATTTTGATGAGTCCACACTAACGACATCTTTAATGACTATAGATAGGACTTTAAAAATTCGCTTTTTGGCATATTGGCTGGAAGCTTACGTGATTATCTTTGTGTGTGAAGCACTGAAGCTTGTTATCCATTTGTTGTACCTGACTTGCTGGCAAAGGCCTACCAAGTAACTGCTTTTCTTTTGCTCTTAAAAGAAGGTATTTAAATTAAAAAAAGAAATGGCTTACCATATACGATTTTTGGAAGTTTGGTGTTATCAAAAATGTCTTCCGTTGTCCTTTTTGTAAAGGGAAAGTTTGAGGGTTGTCCATGTTCAAAGCTACTGAAATATTGTCTGTATTGTACGTCAGGTAGTCGGCTGTGGCCTAAAAATAAACAGCTTACTCTCAGTTCAGTTTAACGTCGAAGTAGCATTATTACTACAAAACTGCCCCCTAGTAGTCAGTTTTGGAAGCACATTCCCATTTAAAAATAAAACTCACCATGCTTAGGCACTTTCATACTGCATCTAAATTGCTTATGTGGTGAAAAACCACAAATTTTGCCTTGCTGCACGGCTAAGCATTAGCTGTAACCAGTACTTCCCAGTCGTAAACATACCTTAAATGGTTCTGTGTGGAATGCCTCCACATCATTGACTTTGACAGACACCGGTGTGTCCCTCAGGTTGAGGAACTTCACCTGGCCCTCTGAGGATGACGGGAATATGGGCATGGTTTTCTGAAGGAGGACAAGGTCAGTGTGTCAGTGCACGCCTGCTCGGATTTATGGTGATCGAGACCAGGTCGGCGTGGATTCAAGGGGTCACTTTGAAATGCAGTTTCACATCACGGACGAGCCCGCATGGAGATATGACAGCAAGCGTGAAACCTGCAGGACACAAAATCGCTGGCCCAAGAAACATCTAGAAGGACAGAAGCAGGCTGCGGATGGAGGGGCTAACTTACGTCAATCTGAATCTGGAGCAGAGCAGCAGCAATGAAAGCCAACGCTGCCAGGAACATGCCGACTGTCATCCTCCTCAGCGGCCTGCGGGGGGCAGCAGAGTGTCAGCTGTATTTGGGCACCAATTTACTGGCACGAGTCTTCAAACCGAATGGAACTGCTCCTGAATGCAGTGTGTGTCCCGTCTCTAAAATATTCGGTACTCTGGGCTTCTTTTCCTTCCTTTCTACATTTTTCGGGAGCCTTCTGCCTGGACAGCACTTACGTGAAGTTCAGGTGGCACTTTTTAATGATGGGATATACCACATTATCCATAACTGGCACCATCACCAGAATCAGGATTGGGTTCACAGTCTGGGGGAAAAAAACATTAACATGTAACAAAGTATTAATGCACCCATATGCCCTTTAATCGTTAAATCTTCTCTTAGAACCTGAACCACAGATGCAGTGAGACGCTGTGGCTTACCTGCATTTGATCTGGCTGGATGGTGATCGCCCCCTGGTGAGAAGGAAGAGAAGTGTAAGGTACTTTGTAAAAACACGCAAGTCGTCAAAATGAGAGTGTGTGTGTGTGTGTAGAGGAGAAACTCACAAAGTTCCCGTCCATAGTGGTGGCCTGGAGGGTCCATCGCGAGCCCTGCAGGGGAATAGGTGGCTGCTTAAGACACTTTTCATGGTTTTCATCACAGACATTCAATCTCCTGAAGAGCTAAGCGCCTGCCGGTGATCACTAGCACTGCCCATCCTGAGATGACAGTGATGTCAAATCGCCAATTAGCGGTCTTCTCATTACCTGCTGGTCAAACAGCGCCCAGAACATTGGCAGGGGGATATACAGGAACAGCACTTTCACCAGCATCTTGATTTGAGCGATGAGAAGTTTCTAGAAGGATGCAGGTACAGTGAGTGAGATGCCTTACAACACTCACATTCACACTAAACGTAAGCGGGCGCTATAGGACATACATCATATTTTTCAGAGGCCCAGTCCATCCAGTGCTCCCGCTTGGAGAACTCGCTACTCCGGTGCTTGAAGCGGTTCTTCAGCGCAAACTAAAGAAAAAAAAAGTACATTTTGACATGCTGGTATTATTTTCAGCCACAAGCTAATATCAGTCAGGGTAGGAGTGCAGGAGCAAATGACAGCTCACCATGGATATGCAGGACGGAAGTATAATCAAAACGAAAGGGGGCCAAGAGACAAACTAAGTGGAATAGGGTTTAAGTGTGAAGTTCCCTGTCAAAAGAGACTTACTCCAATGCATTTACAGACTTGCAGTATGATGTTCCCTTGCGGGTCAGGTTTGTCATACATTCCACTCCCAGCGATAAACACAACTGCAGGGGAACAAGGCACAGTGTCTCATGATTGTCAGCATAAAGCCAGGGAGAGGCAGGGCATGCAGTCGGGCTGGAGGACTCACTGAGAGCAACCAGCATGAGGGCGGCCGGCACTCCGAACGCCAGAGGGTAACACTGCTGGTGGGAGGATCCGCACTCCGTGGCTGGGAACAAGGAGAAGGATGGGATGTTTATTCTGTGTACTGTTTATAAACCCATCTTCTCTGTACTTGACAGCATTCGCCCAAAGGAGAACAACTGAGCAGATATGCCAACAGGAACCTAAGGAGATCTCAGCCACACCTCGGAGGGTGGGAGTGATGATGGTGGACAGAAGGCTGCCAGCGTTGATAGACAGGTAGAAGATGGAGAAGAAAGTGCTCCTCTGCTTCTCCTTCAAAAACAAAATAAGAAAATGTCTTGCTTTGTTCATGGTCAATCACAATATTGACTTCAAAATGGTGTTAAAATCGGTGTGAGGTGCTGACCTGATGGTCCTGAAACTGGTCTCCCCCAAAAGCAGCAACACAGGGCTTGATGCCACCCGTTCCCAAAGCGATGAGGGAAAGGCCCAGCATGGAGAGGATGCTGAGGAAAGACACCGGCTGCACCATTAGCCAAAGACACCTTTTGCTGGGGTAACCTGTGCATCTCCCAGAATGAGTAAATTCCCCTTGGGACTAGACACCTTGAAATATTATAGCCTACATAAAATGACAGCAAACACAGAGGTGTTCTCAGAATAAAGACTTCATATTAACTTCATATTTGTTCAACAACTGAGGATAAACACAGGTTTTCACTTTCATTTTGAACTTTCCATATAAAATTCGAAAGCTCATATTAGTGGGTAAATGAGGGACTTATTTATGGGACTCACACGTGGACTGTGATGTCGTTTGGAGTTCCATCGCTGTTTGTGCCTGTGATGTCACTAATCGTACTGACTGCCATGATGAGCTGCCCGATGGTGTAGACGATGGACAGGTAGATGATGGTCCTGTGGAGAATGAGAAGGGGTTCACCAAGTGGGGTGAGAGACAGGTGTTGCCATGTTTAACTGAGCGACGCCACTGTCCGGCACTCACTTGAACTTTCCGAGCCATGAGTCGGCGACTATGGCCCCCAGGATTGGCGTCAGGTAGCACAGGGCCACGAAGGTGTGGTAGATGGAGGTAGCCAAGTCATCATCCCACTTCAGGAAGTACCTGAAGTAGAGGACCAGCACGGCTGGAAGGTAGTGGGAAAGAGCAGGGCTCAGCTACCCAGCACAGTTACAGGCAGTAAAAGAGACTCAGCTATGTCATGGATGGATGTGTCGCGCTTCGGCCGGGTCGTGGATGTGCACGCGCGGGTGCCGCGCTTCGGCCGGGTCGTGGATGTGCACGCGCGGGTGCCGTGCTTCTCACCTTTCATGCCATAGTAGGAGAAACGCTCGCAGAACTCATTGATGACAATGAAGAAAATGCTGAGGGGATAGCCACAGACCTCCACCTGGGCCGGGCGAGGGGTACAATCATGAGAAGGCAGGGGAAGCCCTGAGACACTACAGCTTCAAGTACATTTAAAGTTATTACCTTATACTTGGCCCTCTTCTCGTTGTTTTCCTTCTCTGTGGAGAGTTACACCAAAGTCCATTACAGGCAGGATTTAAAATCTCGGAGAGGCACAGCACTTGTGCCAGGACAGAGCAAAACAGCAACCCGACAATCTGGCTGCTAAACAATCCATCAGCATATAAATGCACGTCCCCCAAACGCCATTGAACAGGTTTCAATTCAGGAAACATTTGCTTTGTAAATATCAACAACTTAAATAATGCTGATAACGGTGCATCTTACGCTTAGAAAACAATACAATTAAAATGAAGGATTTTAACCAAAGTAACAGTGAACGACTTGGGCGGGTCTAGAGCTCGCAGCGCACTCACCCGGCATGATGGCAGCGATTCCAAGCCCAGTGCCTCAAGCGTCCTCCGTGGAAGATATCGCAAGTCCGAACCTGGGGAGGGGCGGTCCGAATCTGCTTTTGTAAAGCGCTCCCGATCACACCCCCACCGGCCTTTGCCCCCGAGCTCCGGGTTTATGCACTAATCGGGAGTCGCTGTGCTGGGCGGACCCGGCGGCCGGGGTCTCGGGGTTGGGCAGCGGGACTGCCGCGCCGCTCAGATCGGTACAGCCCCAAACGAGCAGCTTCATCGTCTTTTTTTTTCGTTGCCGTCCATCGTGTTTACAGCTGAGGTCCAGCAGGTTTCATTCAACGACTTTTTGGAAACCTGCTTTCAAATGTGAGGAGGACACTCACCAGAATCCATTGCTCTTCAGTGAGTGCTGTTTTGCCAGGGTTTAATTGTACCATATAATTTGCGCTGCTCATGTCAGATCCCGGGAAGGGAATCGGTTTCACCTTATTCATCACGATTTCCCAATAAATAGCATTTGTAAATGTTCAGTTGTACGTCATAGTGCTGGGTACACCGCACACATAAATGGAAAATCATATAACATATGTTATAATAATGAGAATCGATCATATGAAACAGGTAAATCATATCATAGATTAACCTTGTCATGATAATAAGATTGTTGAACCTAATTGAACCAAAGACCACGTGATGGTTGGGCCAATGTCCGCAAATTCATCATAATAATATTCCACGTTTCACCATGTGAAAATTTATCGCTCGGTAAGTCACACTGCTGCCAAATCGGTAAAACTAAATCTTACAACCCGCTACCCTGACTAGATCACATTTTATGTATGTTCGCCACTATACATGTGAAATGCAAATTCATTTTGTCGCATGTCATTGCATTAGAAAAATGTAATCTCAAATTAGAAATATGTGCTGTAACTTGGGATAAAACCAGTGAATTGAAAAATGGAAGCATTTTTTAAAAACCAAACGTAATAATAATAAATGGTTTATATCACTGGAAAAAAGCAACAAAAAAAAAAGAAAAGAATAAAAAAAAAAACACTTATGAACATTATAAACAACGTATACTGTTACATAGAAAAGCAGCGGAGATATAAAGTTAAATGTTTTTTACACGTGACACTCCTGATATGAATACATAATAATACAGGTCCATAAATGGTTTTAATGAGCCGACCGCGCTGATTTGAGATCAGACTGGAGCTACACAAATGCCAATTAATCAGTCGTATCGCGTTCCCACGCCTGTTGCGGTATCAGATAAAGGTTTGGCAATGACGGCTCGTCACCGAATCACGGAAATGACCTTTGACCCGTAGGGAGCATGATGAAAACAATGGCAGGACATTTAGGTTTAACTTCCCTTTTGTAACTGATTACAATGAAAGTCAGAGAATTATAATATAAAATGTTATTGCTGGGGCCACACAAAAGAGACTGAAGATGCACAAGAAAAAGTGATACGTTGATGGTTGGCAGCCAGGTAGGAGATTGGCTTCTTGTTTTTTGTAACTTCAATAACAGCAGATTTACTCAGTATTCAGGTACGTTGTTTAGCCAAGTCATATTGAATTTCAACAAACTGTAACTGTAATTCACCAGCTAGGATGTGACCCAACTACCTTCCAGTCACATGTTGGTGACTACAGCTGCTGTGCTGTATTTTCAGCTTAATTTCATTGTGATTACAGTTCCCTATTTCGATGGTCATTTCTGCCAAGACATTCAATATTTCCATGTACACTAGCAATGTGTCCACCCTGTCCATCAGCACAGAACTATGTGTACGACAAGCACAGGAAGTTGTTTTAGAGTGTAGATACCTGTTAAGCTGGGTTGTATCCAAGCAAGGTGGGCACTTATGTCAGGGCTGTGCTTAGGGTCATGACGTTGGGCAGATAAAAACACTAAAATAGATGGCGAGGTTCAGCTTTCACTGTCATTGTTCTTAGAGTCAGGCTGAAAATCCTTCCTATCCACATGAATTTGGTCAAGGCCGGAAAATGGATTTACAGCTACTACTGAAACCTCTGAAAACAGAAAATTACAGTAAAAGCAATGATTAGTCAAGATGAAATGGAAAGCGAGATGCTGCTCAGTGATGGAGCAGCAATAAGCAGCTCCATGTTTACACCGTGTAAAGAAGGGGACCAATCAAAAAACAGAGAACTGACAAGCCCATAATTATGAACAGGCGAATCAGAGAGCTTGTTACTCACCAGTGGGCTTTGCCGAGATCAGCCCAAAACACACGGCTCTCTCAGGGATGTCATTCTTTTTTAATTGGTGAAGCAAAAGCAAATATAAATACAATTTCCTTTATAAAAACTCAAATACTACATCCATTGCTTTTTTACAAAAAATAGATGCTAATATCTAAAAAGCAATGTTCTCCATAATGATGGTGATGTGAATACTATACTAAAACATGCATATTTTGGATAAACATATTTTTCTTCAAATATTATAACCAAAAAGCAAACAGTACACAACATATATTTGCAGAGAAATTAGTGAATTTTAATTAAAAGTGTGTAATTAGGGAAAATTGCCTTTCTTAAATACAGCAGAACTTTGACTCTTAAATAAAAATAAAAACCCCCTAAAACTCCCAAGATATAAAATGACTTTTATTAACAATTAAACAACAGAATGGTTAAAGCTTTATCTGACAACCGGTCGTCCACAGTATGTTACTGGTTCCACATCCTGTTGCTTTGGCAAGCGGGACAAACCTCATTTTTACAGTGTATGAACTGAAGAAGACAAATATTGCACTGCATTTGGATAGGAGGGTAGCCCAGCGTAACACCTTTACAACGTGTCCTCCAGCGTTCACCTTAACAAAAGACAGTCGGCACGGTGATGGGAACTGCGAGCAAAAGTGCTGCTGGAACATTTGCTTTCAGAGGGGACATTTCCCAAGGAGTACAATTTGTCTGTGTGTACAGTGACAAAAACAATCACAAATACTGCCCTTTTCACACACCTCAAAAAAAGAAAACTCTCGGACTTCATTAACGATACATTGGAAACGCTATATATATACAAAAAGAACTGATAAAAGTTTTAAAACCTGTGAATAATACAAATGCAACAAAAAAGGACATACAAACCTGGGAAAGTGAGTTACATGCATTTAGTGTTCTTGTGACTAAGAGTATGTCTCCACAGGAAACATGACGGAATGATCCTGTTTGGGTTCAGTCCAGGATGAAGGCTGAGATCACCAACACCGACTGTCTGCTCTTCAGACTTCTTCCGATTTCTCCACATTGTGTTCTTTTTGTCCACTTCTCCTCAGGGACCTCTGAAGGCATTTATCCCCAGGGAGAGACACAGGAGAGAGTCAAAGCTCTGAGCTACAGGGACGATGTGTGATATGGAGAAGTCATCCAAGTTTGGTCAATGAACATCACCCTGCTTTTCCGACAGCCACCGACAGCCATTTGCTGGCGAGGCAAAGCTGACCATGGGAGTGAGAAATGTGGGGAGGAGCTGGAGGACTTGGAGAGGGTAGCAGAGAGGCTTAAGGGGGCATCCAGGGGTGTCCGCTTCTCTTTGGGAGGGTACAGAGGTTTGCTCTCCCTTGGGTCAGGACAGCAGGGCCCGCGTCACACCACAGACGAGGAGCTGGGGATTCCCTGGATGGTGGTGCCACTGGGCGTGCCGCTGATGGCGTTGAAGATGTGCAGGGAGTCGGCCAGGACAGTCTTCACGCTGTCCTCCACCGTGCTGATCTGAAAAACGCAGGCCGTTCAGAAAGGGGTGAGCTTTTAGCCTTCACACAAATCACGTACAACTAAACTGAACACCGACGTCAATATTACCATCCAATCTGTTCATGTCAGCATAAATGGAGGGGAGAAAACAGTTATTCTCACATCGTCAGGTATGTTTGTCAGATTAGCAATAAAAGTATTTTAAAACCTCTAAAAGTCTAGTGAATACAGTGAGATTTTACCGGCTCGTGCATGATATTGGACAGCTCTCTGGCAAGGTCACGGTAGTTGGCTTTCATCTCGTCGTGGTACTCCTGCTGGTCCTCCTTGATCAGGCGCTCGTTTATGGTGAGGCCTTGGCCACAGGCGTCCACAAATTGCCTGCACAAAACCAGTAATTAGACCTGGGCAGTTAGGTGGGGCAAAAGTGGAACTTGGGGGCTCTGGCGACTTACCTAAAGACCTCTTTCAGCTGCTTGACTTTGTTGTCAGGGTACTTCTTGCTACTGATGTCATCTAAGAACGCTCTAGCATAGGCTAGCGGACCAGCATTCACCTAGGGGGTATAGGAGGAAGTAGACAGTGAATGGACGGATATGCACCTAGCATCGGCTAGCGGACCAGCATTCACCTAGGGGGTATAGGGGGGAGTAGACAGTGAGTGGACGGATATGCACACCTGCACGCTGATGCTATCATACAGGCAAAGAACACGTCTGCACACCTGCACGCTGATGCTATCATACAGGCAAAGAACACGTCTGCACACCTGCACGCTGATGCTGCCCTGCAGCTTGAGCTGCAGCCGGATCATGTCCACCTCACTAGCTGAGCAGAGTTGCCGGAGCTCCTCCACCTTCCTGCTCATCTCATCGATAGCCACCTCGATGGGGCTCAGGTCCGTTTGGTGCTGGTACATCACTGCGATGCGCTTCTTCACGTAGGGGAAGCAGTGAGTGGCTGGGGGGGGGGGGGTCAGACAGGGATGCAATGTGTTAGGGTAGCACATTCTCCCTAATAATCCATCCATCCATCTTCCAATCTCTGGACAGGGTTGCTGGTGGCCTGGAGCCTCTCCTGAACAGCAAAGGGCACAGGGCAGGGATATACTCTGGACAGGACACCAGTGTGCTACAGACACTTTGGAGATGCCAAACTACATGTCTTGTGAACACAGAAGTAAACCTGCATTATATTTCATACAAGTTAGTCCTGTAAGGTGCAAAGCTGCAATATTTTGTTCACCATCACAGTATCTATACTTCTGATGATCCTGTAACACTGACATGTGTGAAATCTCAGCAGGATTAATTCATGTCGCTGTCTAGGGGCACAAGTGCTGCCAGATCTGCTTTTGCCCAAACAAAAAGTCGTGATTCAAGCATTTTTTTCAGGGAAAAGTCCGTCTGTCCTCTGCAATCAGCTGCACTATTATCAGCTAATGAAGATAAAATCTGTACTTTGGGATTTATGAAATAATATAACAATAAAACTAAGGTGAGACATAAGGAAAAGAACATCTGACTACTGATTAGTCAAACCATATCATTAAGTAATTTGTATGACGAATAAGAAGGGATGTGGTGAGTAAGTCTCACTCCCTCTCTTTCATGGGATGCGCTGTGTACGCAGGGTCCAGGGGAGGCAGTGGTGCCACCTACTGGTCAGGATGGTCCGCCGCTTGCACTGCTCTTCCACCAGGCCCTGCTTCTTGCCAGAGACGGTGAAAGGTGTCTCGAAGACGAAGCGCCGAATGTTGTGGCTCCTCTCAAAGTCTGTCAGCCTGTCAGCCAGCTCCTTCTCCTCCAGGAAGGGGGTCACGTGAGTGACCTGGATGTATGCGTACTTCGAATCCAGGTCTTTTGGGTTAATCTGTGTGAAATAATGAGCACATCCCAATCCAGTGTGTACACATACACATGTAATACAACATAAACACAGGAGATCCCAGTTCAATCCATTATAACGAGGCTCTGTTAAAGGTAACAGTACTGTATCCAAAACTGATACACAGCATTAAAGCTCTTATGTTATAGCTATTCATAATGAGATTAGACCAAGACTGTCCCTGAACTGCGTTTATCTAGCAGGAAGGATATAATTTCCTGAAGACTAGGGGTGACACATGAGTACGCCCACAAAACACGTGTACATATGAGCACCCAAGCATACGGGCACATTCTCATGTGCTACAACCATGCTTTCGAAAGGCCATAAGTGCAGATATACTCCTTGGTTATAAATTTGTAGCGTTTTGGCCTACAGATAAGGTAATCTACAGGAAAAGCTTTAGCTACACTTGGCTTTGCATAAGTGACAATCAGTGACAGATGGTGGAAAAAAAAATTGAGGAAGTGAGAAGCAAGCGAACGTGTCTTTAAATGACAATAAAATATAAGTAATGAGTTATTTCAAGTTAGTTTATTCTCAAGAAAAAAAGAGGTACTGCCTACTCTACCCGTATGTAGCAGCTGCTTCAGGTGAGAATGGTTAGTAGCACAGGGAAGGAACCTCTAGGCCGAGATGAAAAGCTGTTACCCTGCCGGAGTCCTGGATCATCTTGACGTTCTCTGGGCCGAATTTGTCCGAGTAGAGCTTGAGGAGTCTTTGGGAGATCTCGGAGAGAGGGGTGAGCTTGGGCTCCTTGTAGATGTACTCTTTGCCATCCTCATCCTCAAAGAAACCCTGGCAGACAGTGACCAACAGCAGCTTCCATTATGGCCTCTTCCTAAGAGGGACATTGTCACCTGAGAGTGCTTTGTAAATCGAAGTGTCAGCCTTTGGAGTAAACGTAAAGCCGAATGTCAATGTTTGCATGATGTGAAGATACACCTAAATGCCAGCGTTTGGAAGGATGTGTAAATGTAAAGGTGAACCTAAATGTCAGCATTTGGAGGGATGTGTAAATGTGAAATTAAACCTAAATGACAGTGTTATGTGTTTCTGCATATCTAATCCAAAGATGACTGCCGACACATGTATGTACATAGCATCTGGGACGTACATTAAACATGACCAGACCCACAATTTATGCCTGGATCTGTCATGGTGAAGACAGACATTGAAACGCACCCAGCAGGGTTTGGCTGAACATTGACCACACTAACAAAGCACACGCAGAACAAGACCTATTCACACATGTACACACTCCAACAAAGCACATATGGAAAACACACCCAAGTTTAGTAGTTTTACACTCTAACCACGCAACCGAAGGGTCGGAAAGTATGTATGACAATATGCACAATAAATAAGTAAAGAAGTTATGAGCTACCTGTGATCTCAAATTATTCAAAAAAGGTAGTTTCTGTACAGAGAGGTTATCTGTTAACACACTTCACGTCTGTAATGTTGATAAATATTTTGCCTAAGCAAGATCTTCAACCAAATGCTACACGGCACCACCAAGTCCAAATCTGTAAAGTGTCTTTGCCTCTTTATACAGAAATTGGCCACAAGGTAAAGTGGAGAGTGCAGCATGTTCCACAGACAACACGGGTTTTGTGCTACCTCCATTTCAGGCATTTTTAAAAACAGAAAGTAAATTTCGTAACGTGACACAGCTCCTGTTAAACAGGTGTTTTGTTCAGTGAGACAATCGGGATGATAATGGGTCTGCATCAGTGGGTACACTCACGCCAGCAAAGCAGCAGACTTTTCATGACTATTTAAAAACAAGATGGCTGACGGTTGCCAGGACACACCAACAGTGGGCACGCAACACGGCTGAAATGGATGGGCTGGTTGGGGGCAATGGGAAAGGGATGCATAACTGGCCACGGTGACGAGGACATGTCGCACACCAGCAGCTTTAATGCATCGCATTTAATGCACCGCTTGATTCTCTTGCGTTCATTTACCTCCGCGTCCCTGTCAGAGTCTGTAAACTGGTACTGCTACAGAGCCGTAAAGCCATAAGAGAGACACAAAACCACCATTATTCCAAGCAGTCCTGAGCCTTGAACATTCACACACCGTTTCTTTCTGACCAAGCATCTTCACACAGAACACAAGTAGCACCATGGCAACCAGAGGACCTATGGATACAAAGCTCTACATGGTGTGAGACTGCTAACTGAGCAGCACGGGCACAGGCACGGAAAGACAACAAGATGTTTGTAAGCTCCACAGTGAATGATTTGCAGGCAGATGTGGGGGGGGGGGGCAGAGAGGCTGGGGTTAGGTGGGATTAGTCTTTCTGTCATTTTTAGCTGCATGCACAGCTGTCGTGGAGCATCGAGCTGCCATAGTGGTGTCTATGCAACGTGAGGGCAAACTGTAAGCGATAGACACGTCCGAGACAACACAACTCAGAAGCAGGGAGACATGTCACACTCACGGCTTGGAAGCGGCAAAGGAAAACTAAGGGGGTTAGGGTGGAGGTGGGGGCTACTGTACAACTTACCGCTGCCTTTGAGGAAGACAAAAAGCAGAGATATTTGATTAGGACAGACATATTTGGAGCAGGCAAATGAAGTTTTTGCATTTAATGAAAAATAAGTAATAGCTGCAGAAGCATTCGTTCACCGTGTCGAAGTTCAGCAAAAGATGCAAGCAGTGAAGTTAAGGTGTTAAGGGTTCTAACCCTCGAATCCCAGCGGGCAGAGAGGTCAGCTGTCACCCTGTTACCGAAGACGCCTGCGATTGGCCCGCCAGAACGTGTCCACGCCTCACCTGGCCAAAGAACGCCACTCTGAAGAAGGTTCCCAGGAGCCTCTTGCCCGTGTGCATGACCTCCGTCACTTTGCTGTAGGCGCGATGTAGCGTGTCGTACAGGTGAGCTAGTTTCTACACAGCACACATGCACAGACACGAATGAGGAGAATGACAAAAGCACACTGCCACCCTGGGTCTATGCCCGTGTCTTCCTGCTAAATATCCATTCAGCACCAGACAGGATCAAGGGACTCTTGTGCAGAAAAATATTTAGCGTGTGATTTGCCTGGTATTGCTCAGCAAGGATGTTTATAAGCCTTTTTTTTTTTTTTTCTTTTTAAATAAAATAAAAAATTGGTTACACTCTGGATACAAGTTTTATTTTGCTTGCAACACAGTAATTGTTGACGTCAAATTTAGGGGGCTCATCAATGGAATTATGCCATAATTATTTTGTTCACGCAGCCGCATCTGGCACCTCAAAGTCCCGGCGCTTCTCGTAGGTGGGGATGATGAGCTTGTAGATGTCAGCGATGAGCTCATAGCGCTCTGCCTTCCACAGCCCGTCTGCACACTCCTCCAGCAGCTCCATCAGTACATCCTGTGGGGGCAGGGAAGTGTGTGACACGTGCCTGCCACACGGGGGCGCCCATACAAAGAGCCAGCGGCCGGGCATCATAAAAATCAAACAACGTAAACTATTCTGGGTGATAATGCAGGAAGTGTGGACCAAGCTGAAAAGACTCATACAGAAAGATTATAAAATACAGCTGTCTAAAGTACAGTCCACAACCTTTTTAAATACTTTAAGATTATCATCATTGATTATTAGGTTGTCTATTAGACAATTACTCTGGTTAAATAAATATTAGGGCGTATTCATTTTGTAATGTCAGTCTGTTGCTAAGAATCGTGTACAACGTGCTAAGAAAATAATAGTATGTTCAGTAAAAGATGACATGTATAAAATAGAAATATAATATAAACTTCATTCTTTCACTTCTGACCCCAAGGTATATCAGAGGCCTGTAGCATGGTAGGGAAACAACTGCAAAAGAAGCATCATTAAAACCTCGTCTGTCTAAAATCCCACCATAAACGAAGGACAACACTGTCACTCTCAGTTCCCCTCGGCATGTTTCTGAATATGTCATGGGAATCTGTTCTGGGAACGCAATGATGGTACATTTGGCAGATGGAACTTTGAACGCTGTTGAAGACCAGCGAGAGGAGTTTCGATAAACCCTCTGTGGTCCATGGTGGCAAAGTGGGTCCAAATACTGATGAGTGTTTGCTGTCCTGGTGCAGCTGAGGTGCAGTGAAGCGTTTGGTCACTGTAGCTACGGGGCCCAGACAGCAGAGTGCAAACTGGGCTGTTTGTCAGGCAGTAGCCAGCTGGGTGGCATGCGTGTGGGGGAGTGGTCAAAGAGTGATAAAGGACAAGCTATAGTGGAGTTTATAGGTATACAGTGATGACCCCCCCCCCCCAGCTGTAATAACAGATGCTTACAGCCACGGTGGATAAACACAGAAACAGCACGCAGTCTCTGCCTCCCTGGCATGGAGACAACGGGCGATTGTGAAATAAATTTGTACCGCCAAGGCCAACTTACTGCCTGGCCAGGTGATGATAATAACTGGAGGCAAACAGCGGAGGGTCACGTGGACCAGGGGGGGTGTGCAGGATCGGCTCCCTCACCTCATTGAAGTGGACGTCCTGCATGCCCACGTCCTCCATCATGGACACCTCCTCGTCAATGTTGGGCGTGAGCACCCGGAACGCAGAACAGCCCTGTCTGAACATACCTGCCACGTCGCCACGGCAACCATGAGAAACAGAACCATGACTTAATCCTGTGCAGCATAATTAATGGCTCCCCCGTGACCCTGCACAGGACAAGCGGGTACAGGAAATGGATGGAGGGGTGGGAACTAACAGCCAATTACACGTGTCAAGTGGCAGTTATTTAAATGTCATTAATGTGTAATAGGGAAGAGCAAACGACTTAAAAACAATCAAACAAACAAGCACATAAATCAACCAGTAAATAAGTTTTCAGAACAAATAAATAAACTGTTGGTAGATATGAACAATTACTGTCACTATCACTTCTGTCTGGTTTTCCCACTTGGCCAAAAAGGTTAGGGCTGCCCACCTGATTAACTTATAGATGAAAACATCCGTATGTATATTATTGTGGAATCCTTCAACCGCAAAACAAGATTTATTGGTTAGCTAGATAAATTGTCAGATTTATGGTAGTCCAGGCTAAATGTAATTGAATGAAGATAATGTCCAATTGCAAAAGCAAATTTGAAGACTTTTTTATTTAGGAAAACATACAACTGCTGAGATATCATATTTAGTAGTTGTGATATTTTTAGATTTTATGGATGTTTTTAACTTTGTTGTTTTTAATGTGGCACTTTGAGATTTTGTTAATGGAAAGTGCGTTATAAATAAAATGTATTATTATTATTATTATAAATGAATTTGAAAAAAATCTTTGCCATAAATAAATCATATTTATTTATTCATTCATTCACTTTGCAGATTTGTTTATTCACTGATGTATAGGAAAGGTTATTTATTTATTTATTTATTTATTTATTTATCCATTTTCATTCATTCATTGATAAATCACGTTTAGTCTTCAATAGTATAATTCCACACAGCACAATTAATTAATGAATTAGTGTCCCCTATAATCCAGAATGGATTTGGCACTGAAATATAAATATATGAATTTTAAATGCCTTTAAATATTTAAACTGGCTGTCTTTTTGGGCTGCCAGACACACTGTGGCCGTGATTCAGAGCAGCTTTGCATCGGCTTTGCAAGGCCAGAGGTTCACTGTTAAGGGCTGCCTTCACTGTTAAGGGCGGCCTTCACTGTTCAGGGTTGCCTTCACTGTTAAGGGCGGCCTTCACTGTTCAGGGTTGCCTTCACTGTTAAGGGCTGCCTTCACTGTTCAGGGTTGCCTTCACTGTTAAGGGCTGCCTTCACTGTTAAGGGCTGCCTTCACTGGCTCCCCATAACGCCGCCCGCTGTGCTCTCTCTCTCTTTATACCTTCTGTCTATGGCCCCGTGGTGCTCATCGATCGCTGGCCGCCTGATTACAGTGCAGATAACGGGAGGATATCGCTGCTTATCAAAAGAGCACGCCGATTCCACCACATCAGCGGTATAGTATTCCACCCTTGAACCCCGCGGGATTCCAGAGCCGAAGATAAATGCACCTTTGCGTGCCAGCAGTCACTCCCTGTCCTGATTTTGGGCCACTCACGACTAATCATTTTGCTGTAAAAATAATACTTTCACACTTTGCGAAAGTGTTTTAGTGCAAATTACTTGGCTGTGCACACTGTTTTATCTCAATGCAACACTGATTTTTAGGTTCCCCATTATCATTTCATTATTTTATTATTAAAATTTAAAACAAGGTAATTAATTGATTAATTGTTTACAAATTACAAAACTTTATATGAGAAAAATGAAAACCTGAAAGAAAAAGAATATTTTCCCTGAATTTCCTTTTACGTTCCCCTTCAGTGCCTTAAAGGAGAATTACAAATATCAAATAAAAAATGGTGCTGTTAAAAACCAACAACTTTGGTTCCACATAGTGGATATAAACGGTATGACTTCTAATAATCATCCTCCTGTGTAATCAGTACCTTTTCTCCGTAGGTATTCAGCCACTAGTGCCGCCACGTGGACGTAGCACATCGCCGCCTGCAGACATGACAGAGTAGAGGAGGTTAAACCGGCACGTCCAAACCCCACCCCTGCACGTCCAAACCCCACCCCTGCACGTCCAAACCCCACCCCTGCACGTCCAAACCCCACCCCTGCACGTCCAAACCCCACCCCTTGGCCTGGCCTGGCACTGACCTCGGACAGGTCGCCGTTCTTCACATGGATGCGGGCCATGCTGTCCAGCCAGGTCTTGCGCAGCTCGGGTGTGCTGGCGTAGGACTTGGCCAGGCTGTACTGCAGGTCCACCAGCATCTCTGGGTCGTGTTCGTGTTCCTTCATCTGCGCCGTGGCCATCAGCACCGTACGGATCTTTTTAGTCAGGTCCTTCACCTCGGACGGGAAGGCTGTGTTCTGCAGCAGTAAGGTACAGAGGACCATCTCTTGATTCACAAAGAAACTACATTACTAGTGGCAAGCTGTATAAAATCTGTATTTACCTCAACATTACTGTACTGCGTAATATACAGTAAAATACAATATTGCCCTACAATGGTAAAACACAGTAACTACACTGACATTGAAACTGAGAACACGGGTATTTTGCCTTTGTTTTAGTGTGGATTTTGTCATAACTGTAATTTTTACATTTATAGCTGAACTAAGATATTTTGTCATGAAACAAAACAGCCATAGAGACCTGATTTCAGTCAGAACTCAACTTTGATAAAATATACATTTATGACATTTCTGTGGGGCAGTATATTAGACCTTGACTTTACAGCACTTTTGCAATTACTGTATAAATAAGGTGGGCAGCTGCTAACCTTCACAATCTTGTCACTATTGGCACAGTTGTTGATGATGGACAGAGACTGCTGGAACCGAATTCCTCCAATCCCGATGACATCGGCGATCAGCTGACTCACCGCGATCACCACCTGTCAGAGAGTCCAGGTCCTAAGCACTACACCAGTGACAACATTCAACCATCTTGAATCTACAGTCACATTTATTTGGATAGTTATGGATGATGCCCCTCTGTACCTGCAGGTGTGTGCGGACGAAGGACTTGCGGCCTGTGTATTCAAAGTTGCTCTTCATCAGGAAGTAGACAAGATGGGCAGCCTCACTGCGGATGGAGCTCAGCTTGGAGTTGCAGCACTTGAGGATTTCATAGCACAAGGAGGCGCACATGTCGGCACGGCCCTCGAAGAAGGTGCTGGGAAACTGCCAGGGTCGTCGTCGTCATCATCATCATCATCAAAAAACACTCAAGAATCAACATTAAAAATCAACAACCATCATCATCATCTACCATTAACCAGTGGTGGGCACAGCTAACTGAAAACTGCTAACCCACTAACTCCAAAATTCGATAATGCTAAACTGATAATCCACAAAAAAAAAAATTTTGACTGCTAACCGCTAACTTTTGTTATATGAATTTAGCTTCGGTTTTATAAGCTGTCTGGCCTCTTACCTTGTAGATGAAGGTGCGAAGGGAGGTGAAGACCTGCTTGAGGGCCAACTCTGACTGGTTGATCTGCAGGAAGCACAAGTGCACCTCAAACACTTTTTTCATCAGGGGGTTGTGCCCATGGTCGGAGCATAGCTGTGTCTGCGGAAAGAAGAGCATGCAAACACCTTACGGCGCATCCCTGGAGAAAATTACACAGCACTTTGTTACGGTATTAATCAAGCTCATATTACTTTCTTAATTTGAGCGATTTCACTCCTCAGTAATAATATACCAATCAACTGCCAGGTTGGGGAAACGTGAAATTGCGGGTTGGAGGTGTACCTTGAAGCCCATGATGAAGATGCTCAGCGTGTCGAGCACCGTCAGACACACTTCGGTGGCGATGTTGGCCTCCAGCAGCGACTGGTTCAGAAGGTCTGCGTCAGAGTGGCAGTAGGCTGTGCAGGGAGAGTCGTGAGCCAAAAGCAGCTACCTGTTATTTTGTAAATTGTATTTGAGGTTTCCACGTGCCGAAACGTCACTGACCACGTGTAAAGCTTTTTAAGAGAGGAGGGAAGATAGAGGCCAGACTGGGAAGACACTAAATGGGCGTTACAAAAATGACTGAGGATGAGGATGGCGGAGGAGAAAGAGGCAAGGGGCTTACAGTGGTTGAAAGTGTAGGAGTTGTCCAGGCTGCTGAGCTGGTGAAGGCGTGCATGCATCATCCCTGCCCTGTTGCGGGATACAGGCAGAGTCTGAGACTTGCGTTCGTGGGCCACGAGACCCACAGCTTCCTGATTCCTGGCAAGGAAAGGCAACAGGGAACACGGTCACATGGGGCTAGGGCAGCCTGGGAGGTGTCGTCTGGCAGACGGCGGCCAGCAGTGGAACTGCGATGCTCAACAGCAAACGGAAAAGTGCATCCTCATGACCTTGTACCAAGGCCTCATGGGAGATTAGAGACTCAAGCGGATTAAGGCCGTGTGAGCGCTGCTTGGCAGATGGATGCTTGTGTGTGTAGGTGAAGGACTCACACAGAAACCAATACGGCAGATGGAGGTAGTGGGGGGAGTATAAGCAGAAACATGGGAAAATTAGACTGTTACAGTGGAGACATCATGTCCAGCTGTACGTTGGTGATGAAGATGGGAGACACAGGACTGTTTGGGGGGGAGGGGGGGGTGTGGGGTGAAAAAGGGTCACACAGCACTCTGAGGTACGGGCAGAAACATCGTGAGGCTTACCCAAGCAGGACAGGCCAGGAACCATGCTGTTTATTACATTAAAGCTTGTCAGCATTAACGTGCAAAAGACAGAGAAAGGGGAAGGTGAGAGAATGAGGAGAGCAGGTGTGTCCCACACTCTGTGCGCACTTTCATGGGGTTAACAGGACCCATCAGGTAGACCCACACAGCATTAATGGAAAACAGCAGCAATTAAAGTCATGCCATTTGATAGAAAGGTCAAGAGGCACAACAGATATCAGGAATTATTAAAAGGATTCAGCTACGATAACGGCAGGCTGACATCAGGAAAAACAAGAACGTTCTTTTTGTCTGAACCATAGATTATGTTATATCAATATTCTAATTCATTATATAGGTAGCAATTTGCACATAAAAACATTACCTGGCAATGTAGCGTTTCCCCATGTATCTGAATTGATGAAGACACACTCTGCAAATATGTGAAAGGCGCAGTTAGTGAGCAGCCCCTGCATGTGCTCTATGTGTGCATAGTACTGCTGTGGACATGAGATGGAGCAGTGATGGAGGAATTCTACAAAATGTTAAATTCCTAGGAGGTGGCACCCTGGTGCGTTTAAGCTCATCTACTCCTTAAATATGCAGCTGCATAAATTTAACTAGGTAAAACTGCAAGATTAATATCTAGGTTGCACTGGGAAAACTAAACATCTAAAAAAGGAAAATGTGAAGGTATTCTTTTACTGCAAGGGTCTTTAAAGCTAACAATCCTACCATGAGGCTGATAAGAGATCTGGATGGAAGAAGGTACAATATACATGGAGCATGAAGAACTTACTCAACTAAAGTGAAGAAGTCCATCAGCTCTCCAGGACTGGCCTTGTTCCAATACGTAAAGAGGGCATCTGCAGGAAAGCATGGGCAGTTTGGGTGTCAGATGCCAAGCCCGCGGAAAGACAGCATGGTCAGGTCAGGGACTGCCCACAGAGGCAGTGTGCCGCAACCTTACCCTCTGACATGCTCTTCAGCACGTGCAGGAAGCACATGAGCAGGCTTCTGATTTCGGCCTGGTCCAGTTTGTCACAGCGTAGCAGAGAGCTCCCAAGAGTGGAGGCCGGCTGGTTCTAAAAGAGAGTGGCAGCGGTCAGGAGACACATGGCAGCAGACCGGAAGCAAGGCCAAAAAGCGGAGAGAGACACTCCTCACAGCAAAGTCACGCCAGGAGCTGCTCCCCAGAAAGCGGGGAGAGACACTCCTCACAGCAAAGTCACGCCAGGAGCTGCTCCCCAGAAAGCGGGGAGAGACACTCCTCACAGCAAAGTCACGCCAGGAGCTGCTCCCCAGAAAGCGGGAAGAGACACTCCTCACAGCAAAGTCACGCCAGGAGCTGCTCCCCAGCAAGCGTGG